AGTTCGTTTTTTCAATTTTTCTCACTAACGCCAAACATTCGGTAGAATTTATAGAATATTGTAAAAATTATGGTCTATCACAATATATAACAACACACGTTTAGACGACATTTTCCCCGTTATATTGTTATAACTTGGACGATCATCGAGTTATTCGACCTTTTATAGGTTCACTGATTTCTGATAGATAAACACAACTGCTTCAAACACAAACTTGTTTAAATGTTTATTTAAATGCCAACAGTAATAGAACTTATGAATTATTTAAATATGTGACCTATTTAGGTGAAATTTAGCAAAATATAAAAATGTTTTTGAATTAGTTGTACAATATTTTAAATGCATCCACTTTTGTACGCATCCACAATTGTTTAAGGTTATTATTTTATTCATGAGCTCCAATGTGATCTTAAAACCCGAATGGTACTTTTTAATCCAGATTTCCTAACAATTAATTCAAATTTGTTTAATTTCAAATATTCACATGTTGAAACATGTACAGGATGAAATTGCAAATTTTCGGTGTAAAAGTGTTAGTTTTTAAATGACATTTTAGGTTCGAATTATTTAATCTTTAATATTTGTGGTGCTTTCTATTTTTATTTTTAAAAAATACTTCTAAAAGATTTTTTGCAAAACAATTTACTAGTCAATTTTCAGTTTTAAAACAAGTGTTGTTGTTAGATTTTAGTTCAAAAATTAAATTTTCAGGAATTAAAAGTTTGGTGCATTTATAAATTTCCATTCTGAGAATCGATCGTTTGACAAACTTGAGTTTAATTGATTTATAGCTACAATTTTTTATATTTTTTCTGACTTATTATTATTTTGTTTATTTTTTATTTGTATACCTGGTAACGCGATACCTGGTATGTTGCAGCATAGTATGGTTGTGATGGATGTGGCATCAAAAGAAATGGGGAGGAGGAAGAAGGATAAGTTTGTGGCAAAGAGAAAGACATGGAAGTTACAGGATGCAGAGGTGAGGAAGGCATTTGAAGTGAAGGTGGCTGAAAATTGGGAGAGTGGTAAGGATGGAGATGTTTGGGAGAGATACAGGGACTGTGTGTTGGCTACGGCAGATAAAGTATGTGGATGGACGAAAGGAAACTGTAGGCATGGTGAGACGTGGTGGTGGGATGAAGATAAAAGAAAGGTTTTGGAGGTCAATTATAGAAAGAAGAAACGAAGATTGTACATGTGTTTTGTGGATCTAGAAAAGGCTTTTGATCGAGTACCGATGAAGGTCATTGCATGGGCGTTGAGGAAGAAAGGAGTGAATGAGAGACTTGTTAAAGCTGTGATGCAGCTGTATGAAGGGGCAAAGACAAAGGTGAGGGTCGGAAGGGGGATGTCGGACGCTTTTAGTGTTAAGGTAGGAGTGCATCAAGGATCAGTGTTATCACCGTTTCTGTTTGCAATTGTGATGGATGTTGTGTGTGGAAACATAATGGAGGGTTGTTATTTGAGATTTTGAATGCAGATGATTTAGTCTTGATGGCTGATAGCATGGAAGAATTGCAGTTAAAATTGTAATAGTGAGTGGGGAAGGTGGGGAGCGAGTGATAAGTAAAATAGACCCCTGTGGGGTATGTGACAGGAGAGTGAAGGCTAATTCGAATGAAATTTAGGGAACTTGGTGGGGTATTGTGTGGAAAGAAATGGTCCGTGAAAATGAAAGAGAGGTTATATAAAGCTTGTGTGAGAGCAGCGATGGTATATGGTGGTGAAACTTGGGTGTTGAGGAGAGAGGAGGAAAGTGTACTGCAGAGGGCTGAAAGAGCTATGGTGAGGTTGATGTGTGGGGTTAAAGTGAAGGATAGGAGGAGTAGTACAGAGCTGATGTCGAGGATGGGACTGAATGAGGACATTGTGACATTGATAAGGAGATCGAGATTGCGGTGGTATGGACATGTGTTGAGAAGGGATGAAAGGGTCGGGATTAGGCGAGTGTTGGAGTTCGAGGTTGAAGGAGTGGTAGGAATAGGTCGTCCGCGACTGGGATGGAGAGAGCAGGTGGAGAAGGACAAAGTGAAAGCGGGGTTGCGTGATACTGAGGCGAGTGAGGTATTTCACATCTGTCGAAATACCCCTCGACAGATGTGAATGGCGTCGAAGGGTATTTCGGTTTCATCATAGGTAGCCAAACGGCAACCCCCAATCTCGGAGAAATTGTCGTCTTAACGTGTGTTGTTTGTTGTTGTTTTATTTTTTATTTGTCATTTCTCTATATTCAAAATTTTGAAGAAAATTTTCAAGAATGAGCAGATTTAATGATATATAAATGGTTATATGATTTTTGCGCAACTTTATCTTTTCATGTACGTTGGATTCAATTTTTTTTTTCAATTCTTTTATGAAATTTAGCTTCAAATTTTTTTACTACCCGATGTGACTGATGTGTGGCAATACAGTTGATACTTATTTGTCTTTTATGATATTATCATTACTACAAAATTGTTTGAAAATAAATTACTAATCAGTTCTAAAATTTTTTATAATTTCTAAAATTATTCTAAAATGTGTTTTATGTTTTATGTGCTTTGTACTTTTATAAAGGTGCAAAATAGTTTATTTGGATTCATTCGAATATTTCACCAATATGGCTCTGAGACATGAGGTATGTAAACCATATATGACGTTTTGTATTTTGCTCTAACACATTGAATTAATTACAAAAATATGGCTAACTGAATTAAATATGTTTTACACTAATTTTTGCATTGTTTTGAAATGAAAATGCCAGATATAAAATCGTTTTCCATAATGCCATATAATGGTTTTAGGACAAAAACCTCCGAACGAAAAACCTTCCTGGACAAGCCAAACTAGTAAAATAAGTATAAGTAAAATCTTTATATTATTCACCCTTACTATTTAATTACGTAACGTTTTTTTCTATGAATTCATGAAAAAATTATGAAACATTAACAATTTATATTAATTGGTAAGAAACCTGTGTGATGCTAAATTTTATACATCATCTGTTATAAGGGCATCCATTCTATCAAAAGTTGAATTGCATCTTGATTCATTAATCATCAGAATTTAAATTAAAAAAGATTTTTTACTGGAACAAGGTTTAGGGTAGTTGTAGAAGAACATATTTCAATAAATTTATTTGTTTGTTCTTTTTTAAAAAATAATCTTTCTGCTCGGCATTCATTAAGCTTTGCGTTTTCAAATATCCTTCTTTTATTACAGTCGATGTAATAGTAACTTTATCTAATAATTTAAAATTGTTAGCTTGATTGTTGATGAGGGAATCTCAAGAATGAACATGTCCTGCTCTGTGATAACGTTTCATAGAAACCTCATTCATAGAACTAGCTGTTGAAGGATAATTCATTGTTCCTGGTCTGGCGTTGTTTAAATTTTGAAAATCAGCATCATAGCCGTAATTAATTATGTGGTTCAATCTTGAATAAGATTTGTTCTTAAATACTTTTTATTGCATCATGCGTAGTTTGATGTTTTCTCTATTTTGTCTGATATAAATCTATCTGTTGCTGGCGTTGGGATTGTTGATTGCATGACTCCTACAGTCACAGGTATTTTCGAATGTCGGTTCATTTTTAAGTTTTATTTCATATTTTATTACAAACATTCGAGTTAATGTATTATATTCATTCATATTCTGTAACACAATAAATTAACTACTATTTGTTTGAACTTGTAAATAATAATATTAAATTAATACTAAAATAACAAAAATACTTATTAATAGTATTTATTTTCCAACTTGATAAAAATTCCTGGTGATTTTTCGTTCTGGGGGTTTTCGTCTGAGAGGTTTTTGTTCAGAGTGTTTTTGTCCTAGAACACCAGATAATATGTATCAAAATTACGTATGTTATCTTTTTCAACAGTTAGATATAAAAGTATTTTCACAGATTTGTTGCACATTTCAATTTTAATTCAAATTATGTGTCTCATCCAAACATTAAACTTTTTGCAAGCGGAATTTTTACATTTGTAACATTTTAGGTTTTATACTTTATTGCTTTATAATTTGTATTGTATTTTTGTAAAGATTATGAAGAATCAGTGTGTGAATACATTGCAAAAGCTAGGAGCTTCAGATGACATAATTCAAGTTACTTTTCTGTTTTTGTTTCAACTTATATTATGTTTTATCTTGTTTTAGTATATCTAAGTTGGCATAAGTATTGATCACATCTCACTGATCCCATCTGTTGCCACTAAATTCTGCTCGGTAGTGTGATGATATAATGGTTAAAGACAAATTAGTAAAGGTAATTCTCTTTTTTGCGATTGCTTCAGAGGTATCAATGACAAACACAGCGTATATGAATAGATGTGAAAACCATGCATCACACACATTGCATATGATAGGCGGGGATCTTTTTGTATTCGAACCTAGTGACTGCAACAGCAAGACCAAGCGCCTTTATCCATTGAGCTATCGCTATAAAATAATTCATGTATAATTATTTTACCTTTTTCAAAACCGAATAACAAAGCTGAACTAATACCCAAATTGTAATAATGAGTTTATAAACAAACATTACCATGTTTCATGGTACCTAATATTTACAAATGAATATTTATTGCTTACAAATATGATAATAATAACCCCAATAATAAAGAAGAATTATAATAACAACAATAATGGAAATCCTCTTTAATTGATCGACAAGTTAAAAAACGAAATGTAATACATTAAAATTAATTGGAAAATATAAATAAAATTTAAATATGATGTAGGATCCTCTCAAGCTTCTTGATTGGCAAGTACATGAGTGCAAAAATATATTTTAAAATAGTTATGCAGTATTTCTGTTACAATAAATGTTGTATGACGTGTGACTTACAGCAAGTTAATTAATTTTTTGTGAAAAGAAATTAACATAACAGATATTATAGTGGCTCAAAGACTGGGCTCAAAGACTAATAATCTGTTTAGAGCCACTCCAGTAAGAATTACAATTTGGCCAATTTGCTTTTATAAATATTTGTCGATTCAAGCTGTTCCAGTGATTGACGAAGAAGTTATATTTCATAGACCCAGTTCTTTCTTTGAATAGCTTTAGTTTATGACCACTTGTTGTAGCTCGCCTGAGGGGTATCTAGTTTTTTTAATTTAAATATTCAAGAATTAAGCCACGGCCACCGGGTCCGTCCAAATGTAGGTGGTGGTGAGGGGGTGGGATTGGAAGGAAGGGCAGTTGAATATTATAGTGGAGTGAGTGACGGAGGTTTCCTTGGTCGAAGATGGCATATATCATGCGACTGAAGTAATTATTGAGGGGGATGGAGTAGCCACAGCGGAGCTGACAGGATGATTCTTGATTTACGGGTAGTTATGCTTCAATTTTGTTGATAAACGAAGGGTGGCTATCGAGTATAGGGTTAGGTTTAAAGGAATTAATGGCATTGATGAATGTGGGAGTGTGGATGTGGGGGAGTTTGTGTAATTGTGACGAAGGGATGATATGAAGGTGGTTAGTCGGTATGAACAGAAAGTGTTGAATGTTTGTTTGATTTTGCGAGGCGCTGGTGGGATATTGATTATATGAAGGCATGGATAATTGTCTTTGTGGCATTGGGCGAGGCATTGGTCTGTTAGCAGGGTGGAGTGTTATTAGTCGGATGCTAGTTTCTTGGTGTAGATGTTCTATGTGTGTCAGGAGGAGGCAGTCGGTTATAGTACGATAGGCTGAATTTTGGGTGGTTTAGAGTTTTTGAAGACTGGTTTGGGAAATGTTGGAAAGCCAGATGGATGCAACGTAGTTGATGACGGGTGGGCAGATAGATTTGAAGGTTGTGAGGAGGGTTTCTTTTTGCTGGTCCCAGTTAGTTTCCTGTCAGGGACATAAGAATTTTATTACTTTGTTTTGATTTTTTTTGTTATTGATTGTGCGTGTAAGTTGAACGTGAAAAAGATGTTAAAATAAACACCGAGGCATTGCGGTGCGGCTCGATGATGAGATAGTAAAGTCGTCCGCCTAGCTGATTACTTAGGCGTTAGATGTGGGTGTGGGTATGTCTCGGATGTAGACATTAAATAAAACTGGAGATATTACGGAGCCTCGAAGGACTCCTGTGTGAATGATACTAGTGATTGAGGTGATGTTGTGGAAGTGAGTTTTGCATTGTCGGTTGTGTAGGTAGTTGGAAATCCATCTAGTGTGGATTGATTGATGGTACTGAGTAAGGTGACGTGGTTAAATGAATCAAAGACACTGGTGAGGTCGAGTGCAACGGCAATGGTGTGGTGGGCCGATTTTTTTGAGTCAGGGGGCAATGCTTGTAGAAAGCTAAAGTAAGGCTGTGGTTGTGGAGTAGTTCGGGCGGCAGCTACGTTGGTGGTCAGCTGGGGGAAGGTGGGAGGTGATTGCTGGAAGAAGAGATTCAAGAATTCTTACAATAGGGCAAAGTAGTGAGATTGCTTGGTAGGATGAAGACAAAGGACTATAGTGGAGCTCTTCCAAATGGCCGGAATGTTGCAGTGTTGGTTGCAAAGATTTCCGCGTTTACGTCGTGCAACCAACATCGCCTGGTCATTTCACCAAAATCGAACAGGCGATGCAAATGGATACCTACCTACTCTTTCACACCGGTTTTTGCTTACGGAGCAGTGTCTGCCAGCATCTCCTCATCGTTGGCATCTAGCCCAGCCCGGGCCCACCCAAATGGTCTTGCACCTCACAGAAAACTGCTTCAATTTTTTGTTCATCATGCTATGACCACTTGTATATTTGTTATGAGACAATTTAAAAAATTTTGTAGCCGGTAAATCTTCATGGTCCAATGAAAATTTGTAAGTTTGGATCAAGTCTCCTCTATTTTTTGTGTTTCCAGGGTGGTTGGACCACATTTATCAAATCTATCTTCGTATTGCAGGTCGTAGATTTAAGATGAACTTGGTAGCCCTTCTTTGAGCCTTCTCGAGAATTTTTTGTCCTTCTCGAAATAAGGACACCAAAACTGCGCAGTAGTCCAAGTGTGGCCTTTGTAAGATTTGTTATTACATTTTGCTCTTTGCTCGAAATCGTTCTATTAATGGTCCTTAGCATTTTATTGGCCTTTTTAGCAACTTCTTGACACTGTCATGATGGCTTACAATCTTAGGTAATGAAAACACCCGTAATTGACTACAGTTCATTTTCACATAGTGTTAGTTGAGCTTGCTAGTTTTTGAGATATTGAGATAATTTTTCAAAATCTTTTTCCAACAAGACTACATTGTTAATATTATCTATCTCGGTGCATAGTTTTATATCATCAGCAAACTTGGATAACGTAGCCGCTGTTCCACTGTCGATATCGTTTATGTACAGGGTGAATAGTAGTGGTGCCAGTACTGATCCTTGGGATACGCCACTAGTAACGTTTTTTCTGTTTGAAGTGTTCCCGTTTGATCATCTTTTGTTGCCTATCATATAACTAATTTGTGACCCACTTGAGTACTTCACCTTTAATTCAGCAGGCTTCTAACATCTGTGCCAATCTCTTGTGGAAAACTTTGCCAAATGATTTTGAAAAGTCAAGATAAACCAACTCCACCGAGTTTTCTGCATTTGGTTTATCGTAAACTTTTGAAAAGAAATCGAGCAGATTGGTCAAGCATGAGCGTCCTATTCTAAACCCGTGTTGATTGTGGTTTAGTATATTATGCTGTTTAGCATGATTCAACATCCGTTCTTTTTATTAGTGTCTATATAACTTGGCATGTTTTAGGGGTCAAGCCGATCGGTCTATAGTTAGCTGGATCTCTTAGATTTTCTTTCTTGAAGTGTTCAGCGATAACAGTTTTTCTCCAATCTAGGGGTACTTCAGATGTTTTAATTAATTTACTGACATTTACATTATTGATTTAGTAAGTTACACACAGTACTTGACTGATTTTCGATCGAATTTCTTGATAAAATTTAGGAGATATGATATCGTTTCCTGGGCTTTTGTTTTACTTCAACTTTTTCGATTTATTTTGGTGTAAAATGATCTCATCTTCTGTGCTATTGAGAAAACTTGTAATTGTTGGTATAACGTCTACCTTTAAAATTGGTCATAAATTGGCTACAAAATTTTAAATTAAGACAATTTAAAACTGTTATAAAAATCAATGAGTTACATTTCAAGATAATTAATAATTACGGAACAATTAAAAAAGTATGCATTTAGATTAGTTTTCAAGTTTTTGTACCTCTGGCGTTTGTACTCCCTGGTGAAACCATGACAAATTAAATACTCCAGATCTCTATATAAAAGCAGCCAAACCAACTTTTTGAGAGCTTAATGAACCAAACGATACAAAATACAAAGCTATTTCCAAAACTTGAGTAAAACGGCAAAAACGATACCAAAACAACACGACTAGCAAAACTGACATCCATAGCAATCCTAATACCTAGTTGGTTTCATTAACCAGTAGTCCCATCAACCCTTATCTTTTAATTTCAGTACATTATGAACAATTTAAAAGTTTTCCACTTGCTACATTTGTTAAGAGAGCCAATGCCATTTTTAACGTTAAACAAATCAGCTGTTATTCACATTGAAGATCACCTGAAGAAGTTTTCAAAATTTATCGTCAAAAAGGGTCTTGGGTTGCGTCATTACGTCAAACATCTTTGATGTGGGACAAATTGGTTCTTATCATTTGTCTGTATGTAACGAAAATTTTTTTCAAGTGACAATATTATCCTTTCCTTGTTTTTAGTCATTTTGTGGGTTTGACCTGATTTTGATGATTTCATAAAATATTTTAATATTTTATTAACCCAGTAAAAAAAAGTTAATATTTTATATTATGGTAGTTTTACTCAAAAGCCTTGCAATGTGAATATGACATAAGTCACACAATCTACAAGTTTCAATGCAAATTAAAGAATGATGTTGACACATCTGGGTCAATGGCTCCAAATGTTGTTTTTGGACTATTGCAGGTTACTTTGCAATTTTTATCACAATTTCTTTAGCTTCCTTTCCAACAACTTTAATTGCTTCAACTACTTTAGTAAATTTTCAACTTCCACTAATTTTATGAATCTTCACAGCTAATGAGGCATTTTCAATTTATTCAATACAATATCTTTGTTGAAAACTTTTGCCCATTTATCGTCGATTAATTTTTTGAAAATGCACTCAACATGACTAAATTTTTGCAAATCCTATTTATTTAACATATTGAGGCTAACAGCGCTGTTTCGGTGTGGGTGCCATTTTCAGAGCCTTGAAATTTATGTATATATACTGATATAAAAAAAATTTGAAGTAAAATAAACAAAATTGACTAAAACGAAATAAAATGAATTGAAGTAAATTAGAATAAAGATAAAGTTTAGAGTAATATTATAATTTAAATTAGAATAAAATAGATTAATTGAATTGAGTAGTTAAAATTACATGAGTATCATAAAATGAAATAAATTTTATTTTTGTAATATTTTTTGTATCAGCTTATATACATAAAATTCAAGATGGCACCCACGCCGAAACAGCGCTGTTAGTTTCACTATGTTAATTATATACGATTTGCAACAACTTCGTCGTGTTGAATACATTTTCAAAAAGTTTATCAACGCTAAATGGGCATAGGTTTTCAACAAAGTATTTATTAACAAAAACCTCGTTCCAAAATATAAAATATCTTTGTAAATAATTAAAAAACTTTAAAATTAAAACAAAATTATTGCACCGTTGTAACACCACACCAGACTATGACAAAACACTTTCGATCATGGAAAACTAAAGTTGACGAATTAGCTGAACAAGGATCGGTGTTGCCACAGTTAAACCTTGATGAGGAACATCTTACAAGCATTAACACTTTAACAGCTGTCTGTTCTATGGACACTAATGAGGTTTACAGTGAAATGTTCTTTTTAGAAGCATTTTTAATTTCTGTATGTTGTTAAGATCCGCTTTAAAGTCAAGTATATTTACATTTTAAGATGTGCATATTGAAATCTACTAAAAAAATAAGAAGTTAACTAATCTGCAAATATTTAAATAGAAATGGAAGATTGCTAACAGGATGACTTAGATAACTTTTGCAATTTTGAGTTGAATTTAAAATAGATTTTTAAAAATTTTTTTTAAACTTTATTCTTTTGAGTTTTTAGCATATTTTTTTTATTATTTTATTCTGTAAAACAAACAGGACACAGAGAATGGTACAACATGCATAGCATAAAAACAAACAAGAAACTAAAACAAAAAATTAAAGAATGAAATTATATATATTCAATTATTGATGAAGATCACAGCATGTTCGGCGTTAGTTAACTTCCAATTTAACTTTTTGATTTTTCTAACGGTTGATCGTAAATCATTTTCAAGTTTCTTTAGTTCAAAACCAAATATTTTGCTTATTTTATGCATGATAGAACAAAAAATCTTTTTTCGGTATTATTATATCATCTTCGGTGTTCAAATTAATATTGTTACAGACGTGAAGCCATAAAAATAAAGTCATCTGAAAATAAGTCTGTTTAGTAGTTAAGAATC